TGGAACTGGAACTGGAACTCCCCTCCCTCCTCAGTCTCCTGTGTTGGACGACGTGGAACTGGAACTGGAACTGTTCCACCCGCCCGGGGCACACTTTGTCGATGAGAGAAGGTGTTTGGAAGTGTGTTTGGACAGCTCCCTTGGAAGAATGGAACTTGATGTTGAACTGTACCTCAGGCCTTTTGACAACGAAGGGCATTCAAGCTCAGGTGTTTCCGCGAGCGCAGCAAGAGCTGGTGATCCCAGAGAAATTGCGCGATTATGTTCAGGTGGGAGGCGCCAGACAGTCGGTAATCCGCATCAGTGACCAGCGACAAACTTACAGCAGAAGCTGAGACCTGTTTAACGGTGTGGGCTTGTGCAGGTGGCTCCCTACAAAGACTTGGTGGAGGGCTTGAGCTCTTCGACCCCCTGGCATGTTTGCGGACTTTGGCGGGACAGTTGAACGGCAATAAAGATCAATAAAGTAAGATTTGCTTGAGGAAGATTCGAGCTCTTGTGGAGACTGGCGCAGAGGCCTGGATCCAGCTTGAATGGAGCCTAGGGTCCAGCTGGTTAGGCTGTCATAAGCGGAATATGTGATCGTGAAGTTCCTTAGCATCGCAGGCTCCAGATGCTCAAGCAGTTCATCCAGCAGTTTGGGCACGTTTGAAGGCCCAAAACCAGCAAATCGTTGATATTGATGCAAACTCCAAACAGCTGGATGTTCACAGGAGTATGTCAAAAGCGCTGCATCAGAAGGTTCAGCAGCCAAGGGCTTGGAAGCGGACACATCGTGCGAGGTTTTTGTTTTGAACATGTCTTAGTCAAACCACCACGTAAAACATAGCCGGGGGGGGTAGGGCATACCACAAAAACACCATAACACAACTTCATCCATGCAAAGGATGCGCTTGGAACACGGAGCAGTGGAGAAGACGAAGAGGCAACATTTTGCATGGGCAGCGCAGTCATTCAAACTCAGAAATCAGTATGCCGCCAGGAGTCGTTTGTGCCACACAGTGACCAAGGCAAACATGGTTTGTGATTGTGAAGTCAAACATTGACAAATGTGTCCACAATGTTTTTGACATTCGGCCACAGGGATAAACATTTTTGGGCCAGGTAACTGTTGGGCGGATCCTGCAGCACACTATGATGCACAAGCTCCCAGCTCGCAAGGAACCCAATGCCAGCTGGTTTTATCCAGGTTTGGGATCCCGCAGTTGACTTCACTAACATGGTCAGCAAAATTATTGGCTTGATTACTCAGGACTATAATATTGCATATTCATTATTGAAAACATCACACCGCTGTGGATATCGATCATTGCATTTTGCTTGATGGGACTCATCCTGCCAATCCAGGTCTTCTCTCCGAGACCGGCCGCAGTCCCCCACAGTGCGGCTTCGTAATTTCAATTCCTTTGCCAAGGCCTGTGTTTGTGGACAAAGTTTCCTATAACCGGGTGACATTTTCTTTTCCTGCCAAATGACCCGAATGGACGGACCACAATGTATGGGAGCAATCCGAACCTTCGAGTCGTGAGGAAAGGTGAAATTGGTTCGAACATGTCTTTAGACGTATCGGAGTGCTAATTTTCCTGGGATTTTTTTCTCATTTTTTGTCCACCTGTGTGAGAGAGTGACCGCTGTACTGTACTACAAACAATAAATCATGAATCATTATGTCTTCCTTTACCCATTTTACCAGTGGACAGCGTAATGGACATGCCAGTTTTATTTTTTGGTATATGTTTGGCTTGACAACTCACTTCATTCTTTTGCTGCGCCAGTGCCCAGTGAATTTTGTCGACACTTCACGCTTTCAGAATTTCCGGAGGCCGTTTTGCTGGACCAATTCCTCACCGATGTCTTGCGGCAAGCCAGGTCTTCCTAGATTTGGCGCAAATGGCACCACAATCAGTTGTTTCAGATGCTTTTTGAGTGCAGGGCCAAAGACATTCATCATGAACTATTATGTAGAGCACATGCAGTCAGACGGCACTGATCCATGACCACAGCCATTTTCACCTCCATGAGGCCGGCGGCGAGGGCCGGCCATTGTCAGTGCTTGATTTGGGTTGTGGCGACTCGGCTTCATGATTTACTGTTCATGTCGACTGTTGCTGGCTTGAACTTGTTCAGTGACAAGACAAACATTTTTACAGAAGAGAGAAAATAAATACCAAACAGATCCAAACAGCAGATTTTGAGAAATAGGACAAACATTGAAGACACTACAAGAACAATGGAGGAGCTTGCTGTTGCTTCCTCGCCAGTGGGACAAAATCGTGGGGGGATTTTCCGATTGCTACCTAACTAGCCGCTAGAACACCTCTAGCGCCTCAATATTTCCACGTAACCTATACTATCAATCATGAAGGGGGTCTTACGATGTTCCACTCCCAAGAATACTCAAAGCACTTACAATCCTCATGTTCAACATTGCCCAAGAGTTGTACTGGAAGGAGTTTGCAAGGAAAACTGTGATGGAAAAACCGAGTTTTCTGAGGATTCAATTGCAAGATAGAAAAACCCAACCCCATGTTTCACTTCTCTCACTATTTGTCTCATGCTGACTCAATCATTTGATTGCCTTCTTTCTGGAACCCGAATACTGCCACAGTGGTCAAAATTATATATAAGTCTCAAGCTGGATGATGCAAAGACTTGTCACGATTACCATCCTTGGCAATAATGTGGGAGATACGGCTGCAAAATTGACAAATAAACAAGGCATGCCTCAAGTTCTCCAGATGTCCCAAGCTATTGAGCTATTGCCGACCATAAAAAATCCATGTGCGACAACTTCTGGCTGTCCATCGATACCTTGCTGAACTCAACGCACTTCACTCCAAACTTAAGCTGGAAAAAGAGCATGATGATGGGTTCGATGTTGAAACCTTCCAGATTCGAACAACATTCAGGGACTGGCCGATTCCAACTCACCGGGCACCACAGCCTGATTTGCTGCATGCTGCCATGGCCTGCCTTTGGGGTCATCAGACTGCTTCACATGTCTTGGATTTTTTCACCGCCTCCAATGGTAATCACCTGAGTCCACCGTCCACCCTTGATTCCCAGGACGTTGGCATTAGCAGGATCGAACTGATTGTTTTGTACGTGCTGCTTTTCCGGCCAATTCCTACCGAATTTGGATACGGTCCACAGAAGCTAAATTCCATCAACCGTTTGCCTTCGATTCCCCAGAGTCCTCGATCTTACCACCATCTACTGTAATGGGTCGCTTCAGTGGCAAGCACACAATCTGCGTGCAGTTGTGCGATATATGATGTCTTGAAAATGTGACCAAGGTGCCTATGTTTCCATGCTATAGAAAGACGTTGTCATCCACTAAATTCGCTTGGGATTCCAACGAAGTCTCGTTGGTGGAGTGGCTTCTTGTTCCTTTTCACCGTGGTCGTCCCAGCCCGTGAACCAAATTACCAAGCACTCGAAACTTTAGGAACAAAAGTCCTTGTGGTGAACGTCCTCGCGGTGGAACCTAATAGTGATGGCCTCCATCCTAGTCCTTGCGGTGTTGCAGCCAAATGCAGCTTTCCGATCATCACCATCATTCCCCGCACGCGTGCAGCAGTTCCAGCGGCAACTCAACAAACACTTCAATCATCTTAAAGCAGCGCACTGGAAGGATCTAGAAGGGCTGTGGGGCGCGACAGACAGTCAGCAAATGATTTTTGGCGATTCAATCCGATACGCCCTTTAGGGCTACATCCCTTTTCGCTCGATGCACTCCACAGAAAACTTTTTGTTCATTAAATGCATTTTTTTTTGAGCATTCAAGCAGTTCAATTGAAGTTCAATCTGTTTTCTTTGTGCGAAGGAAAGGGTGGCGATCTCAAAAAGCTCATGAACTCCGGCCGGAGGGCCCAATGAGACCAACAGCCGTTTCTTGTACGGCACAGACTCGCACAACTTGCCTTCCAAACAAAACTGTCGAGAAGGAAAGCAAGAAAGGAGTGAAAAAAGCTGAAAAAAGAAAGATCTAACGGTCTAGAGTCTAGAGTCTAAAGAACTCTAAAGATGTCTACTGTAAAGGAAGCGCTACCAGAAAAAGAAGGAAGAAAGGAAGGAAGGAAGGAAGGAAGGAAAAGGAAGGGAGGAAACAGCAAAAGCAAAGAGCAAGAACGAAAGAAAGGGAGGAAGGGAGGAAGGCACATTATGGTGTCCGGTTCTCACCAGAGTCTCACCGCTTCTCACCTCATCCGCTTTGGAACATCCCAAAGCGATTTGGAGCCCAAACCTACCAAACCAGCGGTTGACATCCCCACACCCACTATGATCCATTTTGTTCATTTCAGTGCCAATCTTGACTTACAAATAGCACCTTTCCAATTTTTGACCAGCTTTCACAGAGTGTTTTTTCTAATGACAAGAGCACAGAAGCCGCAGCATATACCTCAAGGTTTCATTCAAGAAGCAGGTTCTCGGCTGCTGTTCCCATTCTTGACTCCCATCGAAGGCAGCAATACACCGAAATACATGCACTAAGACTCCTCAGAGTGGCACCACACATGCTCAACCTGTTCAGACAGCTTAGATTGCTAGGACTTTGTGCATCTCCGCAGGTCTGACGCACTATTGCGGTCTAGACGTCTCCTACGCCTCCTTAGAGGTCTTCAGGGCAAGGCTCAAGGATCTCCAAAGCAATCGGGCGCCAAGGCCAGGAGTGTCTTGAAACGGATGCAACGTGCGATGTTTCAGCCCCAGCCTCCGACCTACTAGCAAACTATATTAGACCTTTCTTCCTGCTCTTTTTGTTTGTTTCTAATAGCAATGGCCAACCTACTAGCGATGGCCTCCAACCGGCCTCCAACCTAATGCACTATATTTTGTTTGCTTTCCAAGCAAAAGTGGCAGGCATGGGCTCTTGGGGCGTTCTGAGGGCTTGGCCTTAAAGGAGGCCTGCCAAAGGAGTTTGAATCATAATTGGGACCTGGAAAGGAGAACAGTTCTCAATTCAAAACCAATCAGGTGAGGAGATGTGAGGAGTTTGTTTGTTGGACTCGAGTCTACTGTGTTGCGGGTCGTGCGTCGGTTTCTCTCCAAAATAACTGCACCTGTTCAAAAAGATAAATATGTTTTCAGTTTTAAAACATAAGGATCATAAGGGGCACTCCTGGCAGTGCAGCTTTCTTACATGTTTTTAAACATTTTTTTGTCAATATATAGTATTTGTAAAGACAACTGCACTTCCAGGCCATGGTTGCGACACTCTGTGGATAATGCTGCAATTAGTGGAAGATTCCGGACCTGCAGAAAAAATAAAACAAACAAACTAGACAACATTTTCAGAAGTCTCTTCTGGGGGAGGGTTCAGTCAAGACGGTCAAATAGTTTTATTGTTTTTTGTCAACCGATTTTGTTTAAAGGTAAGCATTCCTTTTTAAGGAGGGGCCCAGGAGCCTTGACATTGGTTTGTCAGAAGGCAACAGTCTTGTACACTGTATACTGTAACTTGTTGCTACGTAGCAATCTGGATTGACCATTTCCACCTTGATGAGCTTTCCCTTCAGAATCTTGACTTGTTTCCTCGAGTAACACTTGGCTCCTGCTTGTGGTTCTTGCACACAAGCACCTCTTCCTATACTTGAAGTAAGAGCCCCAATAGCCTTGCTATATATCTGGGGAAGGAGGATAGTCGTTTTAGATAAAGTGAGGTGCTTGTATGTAGGCGTAGGTAGCACACACACAGCATGGTGTGTTCCGAAAGATGGGAAGGCACGTAAAAATAAACGTTGATAAAGCATGTCCACTCCAATTGTTAGCGAGAAGCAGATCTTATCAAGGAAGGAAAGGAAGGATGTTCTTCATAATGTTTAAGCTTGTTTCCTACTAGGCTAGATAGATTTACAATAGTAACACTTATATATGGAAGGCTTTACTTATGTCAAATGATCAAATGCAACATCAACCGTGCTAAACAAAATGCACTGCCACAACTGCCCGCTCTCTTTAAGTTTCGCTAAACATCTAGGAACCAAATCATTGGTGCGAGCACTTCTTCCTTGAAGAAGCGTGAGCTATCCTGCCTCCATATGTAGGAGCTTCCTATTGCAAGTAGCGTGTTACTACGATTATGTAGTTCTTCATTAAGTAGGCGCCTACTTACTTAATCTTACTTAGCTAATTTCTTGTTCTCTCTTTCGGGGCACACTTAGGAACACGTTCCTCGAAGAACCCAAACTTTTTTCTTAACAGATCTACCTCCTCTTAAAAAAAATATCTTTATTGTTGTTGTAAAATAGCAGCAGTTTCAGTAGTCTTTTGTTTAAACATGGTTTAGTTTTAGTTTTGTTTTTTTAGATGCATATAGAATATAGTATGGTTTTCATTCTTTGCCTTCACCTTTGCTTTTTTATTTTCTTTGTCCCCTCACGTTTGGTCAGGTCGCCTTGATCCATGCAGATGCCTTCCGGGAGTGTTTGGAAAGTACCTGGGACCGGAGGACGAGCGCAGCAAGCTTGGTCGGGCTTTGGTGGGCGACTCGTGTGATCTAGCTCGAGCAACAAGCGGGCCTTGCTGTGCATTTGAGAGCACCTGCGGCTTTCTCATGTTGCCATGGAACCTTTTGCTTGGTCATTCCAGGGGCAAGGGGCCGGGGCAAGAGGCTCTGGTATTTTGGGTGCACTATACCATCAGGGCACAGGGTGCACAGATGTGCACAGCTGGTGGCTTTACCGGTGGCTTTGGCAAGGAGATATGGCACTGCACGGTCACAGCTTGGGCGCTCTTGGCAAGGTAGCCCAGATCAACCCAGCTGAACCTGTGCAGCCTGTGCTCGACTTCTGGACATGTTCGATCATTGAAGAATATGACATCAGAAGAACGTCATATGAAATCTATTGTAACCTCGGGTCAATGAAAAGTATTACGTTAATGCCATGAGAGTTCAGTGTGATTCTCCACGTATTGGAGGTTTCACTTGGTGACCTCCCAGATGGCGTGAAACCCGGAAATCGGAGAGGTCAGTCTGGTGTTCAAAGAGGACTCTCAAAAGGGCTTGCAAGCGTAAGTATGTTGGACCTACCGATAGTTTGATATAGATTGATCCCATTTGGACAAACGTGTAATTACTGGAGATTATTCGTCAGTTTATAATTAGTGTTTTGACTCAGGGGTGCTTTATGGCTGACACAGCGAGGCCTGTCATTATGCCTTCCAGTCTCAGGCCTTTGGTCCCGAAATTCGTGTGTTGCAAAGTTGATGATTCTCGTTGTTTGGACGACGGTTTGGAGGTTTGTATGCATTGTTTTTTGAAAGGTACTATGTCACTATGTGACTTGTGACTATGTGTATAGTATCAGAGGCTAGGTCTTAGAGGCTTAGAGTCTTCAACTGGACTACCTGTTACTGCTGCACATAACCCTGTAGCTAATTATACAGAGTCGATTGTTTTCTGTTGAGCTTGGCACAGAACCAAAGCAGCATAGCTGGTGATGCCACCGCTGGTCTGCTGTCACAGGAGTCCTTGGAAACCATGTTGGACAATGCCGCTTTTCTGTACTGGGAATGAATGGACTGCCCTGTGCGAGTTCTTCCTTGAAGAAGCCTGAACTTTCCCGCGTTCCATCTACTAGTGGCGGCCTACTTAATGGCTAAAAGTAGCTTACTAACCTCCGTCCTCACGATCTAGCCCCCCTCAAACATTCAAACATTGTTTAACATTATAGACAAAGACTCAATCCAACCGCCTTCTGAGGTCTCCAAACGCCTGTGCAGTGGGGGCTATTTTGTCGCAACGGTTCCAGATGCAAAGAGGCCCTCTCGAGTCGCCGTGAGGGTAAAGAGGCAATGCAAGGAAGGTTCCATGACTCCTGTTGCATTGCTTGAACATGCTGCTTGAAACATTAAGAGCTAGACTATGCTTATCAATCCTTCAACTTTGATATTGATATAGCTGCACTAAACTATCAACAAAACTCTGCTGCAAGGACTTAGGTCTTGGACTTCTTTACCCCTTAGCTGACAAGAATGGGCATAGGGATCCAGAAAAAACATACCGAATCAAACAACTCTACTTACAAAAAACAATTACAAACTTAAACACATCGCCTAATCAGCTGGTCCCTTGGTCCCCTGGTCCTTTGGTCCCCCGGACCCTTGGTCATTTGGTCCGCTGGCCCACTCCTGGTCCCTTGGTCTGGTTCTTTGGTCGCCTGGTTCCTGGTGAATGTTACCCGTGACTGCCTGGAGGGAGGCTAGGAGGCGACGGCGATGTCTCAGAGGAGTGTTTTGAAGAGCGAATAGCATTTAGAGGAGGGAGGTGCCATTCCAATATAACATACCTTGTGTGAGCGCCCTGAGAGTACAATATACAGGTGGAAGGTGCCATTCCAAGGTAGCATACTTTTTATGAGCATCTTCGACAGAATTTGGAGGAGGCAAAGGCCATTCCAAGTAACATACTGTACCTTTTGTGACCCACCCGATGGTAACTTTTAGACTCGCATACCTTTTGCATCTTTTGCGAGCCACCTGAGGTTAAAATTTGAAGAGGAAAGTGCCGTTCCAAGGTAGCATACATTTTGTCAGCCATCTCCAAAGAAAGATATTGTGTACCTTTTGTGAGCCATCAGCAACAAGATTTAGATAATTTTAGATACATTTAGCCCGACGGGAAAACTTGGAGGAGGAAATGGCCATTCCAAGGTAGCTTTCCATTTGCAAGCTGGCCGAGGTTAAAAATTAAATGAGGAAGGGACCATTCCAAAGTAGCATACCTTCTGAAGGGCCGCCAGAGCGTAAAATTAGACGAGAAAGGTGCCACTCCAATGTAACATACCTTTGAGCTTGGCGGGCAAAATATAGAGGAGGGAGGTGCTTTTCCAATGTAGCACGCTACTACTGCTGTTGCTACTACTACTACTACTACCACAACGGAATATTTGTTGATTCCTTTTACATTATATACTGACTCTCTTTTTAATGCGTGGGAATCTGCTTTCTGATTCGTGAATGACTTTGGCAGCTAACCCACAAGAGTGGTTCTTACTGTAAATGTCTTTAGACAATCTCATGCACCACTGGTCATTGGTCCATGTAGTTGGCTCCCGATCTGCAGGATAGTCTCAGCTCAACGCAATGCCTTGTCTTTAGTGTTCCCGGCTTGTTGGGTCAAACGGAGGGATTCTGGGTGCTGGCTACGTCACTTCGGTAGACTCCTGTAAATCGACTTCAGACAGCAACCCCCGGCACTCGAATCATGAATTTTGTAAAATCATCCGTTCGGGCCAAACAGTCGGACGTCGAAGTTCAACAGCTTGAAGAGGCAGCATTGTGTTGGACATTAACAAATCATGGAAGCAGCGCAATGAGATGTAACATGACACAACACCGTCAAGATGTCCTGTGAATCGATTTTTCGTTGTTGATGGTGAATACAAGCAAAGCCCCTAATGTTCTTATGACACAGTCTTTGAGTTTGTTCAATTGGCCAGGGGCGAGCGTTTGGTCGGCTCGGAAACAACCTCTTTGGAATTGAGTTTTCAGAAGAGGATCGGGTGGCATTCTTCGGACGGAATTGTACTACTCGTAGATCTGTTACGGCAAACAAGGAAACTTTCCCAGAACCCCGCTAGTTGCGAAACTAGTGAGTTGCCTCGAATGGGTTCCTAATGCCTCCTACTTCTATGTCATCAAGGCATTGTACACCATCCAAGATTATCCACACAATGCCACACCCGTGGAGGAGTGGTCAAAGGTGGAATCCATCACCTGGGATGAGACGTCGGATCAGCTTGACAAGCGAGCCTTTGGAATCATGTACAGGTGCCTTCCTTTGAGATGACTGGGACACAAGAATTCTTGTAGTTGAAGTTGAGGGTTCCCATTTCTTAGGCCCAGGCCCTGGCCAATATTTCTTCAGACATCTTCAGATATCGATTTGATATCGGTTTTATATACAGTAGTTTTTTTGAGGTGGACATCATTTTGTCAACCTAGTGGAATGTAACCTCCATATCTGTGATATTAGGTCATTAGCACTCTTGCGTTGGAGCTGGTTCATTGTACGTGGTTAGTGTGCTTTTTTGTTCAGTTGTTGACACTTAGATGTTGGTTGCAGTTGATGATTCTTTCCCGTGCTGTCAAGCTCCAGGTTTGATTTGGTGGACGCCGTCGATGTACCTCGTCTGCAATATCTAGTGGTGAAGCCTAACGCTACCTGAGCTGGAAACTGAGTCCTGCTTGGAACCGCTGGTGCATTTTCCAAGCTTGAGAGCCATAGCGAAGAGCAAGGCATGGCTCAGCATCGTCAGCGGCAAGTACGGAAGTTCGGAGTGTGAAGCTATTCAATTTAAAGACTTGGTGGTGTTTGCCAAACAGCAGAACTGTCTTTACAAGTTCTTTGATGCTGCCTCAGACAAAACTTGGGTCAATTTAAGCACCCTCAAGCCCTTCCTCTGCAGGGCTTGCAGCTCAGCCTCGCTCCCACTCCTTTGAGTCAGCTGGTCATGGGAGACAAAGCTGAGCTGGGACGCTTGCGCCGGATCTACGCTTTCGCAGGCCTTTGCTGCGCAGATCAGTGACCCAGGTCTCGGCATACATTGGTGACCGCTGCCCGACTCAGCGGACCCCAAATAGCCGGGGAGGTCGGTTTCGTGGGTCCAAGCGGCAGGTGGTATGGCTTTGCACTCCAACGAGGCTGGTCTACATTTGGGAAGGAGTTGCTTGGGCTAGTGGCAGCCTTTTTGGCACAGGACAAGGGATGCTTGTACTACAGCTACTCAAACATGACCAGGCTATCTCAGTTTACAAAGACCACTTGAGAGGAAGAAAAGACATACGTTGTAAATTGATGTAAATTGTAAATCCTCTCCATCTCGATATACTGGTAATACCTACTTGTGCGTGTCCTTGGCAGGCGAGGGAGCAACGAGAGGCAATGGAATTTTATGTTGCCTTTGCCTTTCAAAAAGAGCAGGCACGGGTGTTTTGAATATGGCAATTGCATGTTTAGAAGAAGCCTTTTTCACTGTGTGACGCTTATGCACATTCTTTGGGTCTGAATCATATACTTTGACTAAAGCTGTTTTTTAGGCTGATGGTGTGCTCTCATGTGATGGGCGAAAAACTGATTTGCAGGCTGAAGATTTGCCCACCTGCCAAGAAGTTTCTGAGGGTGTGAGGGCCCAGAAAAGAGGACAAGACTTCATTGATATGCTGCACTTGCTTCACTTGATGCACCGACCACCCAGTGGCAGAAGTTACTTCAATTTCATGTCAGTAATAGTAAGACTGGACATGCTTGACCGTGTGAAACACGGGGAGAATGGTGACTGAAATCTTCATGACCACGAAACCGCTGACATCACACAGTTTACTCTACTCTCCCTATATCTCCCTCAACGCAGCACTGAATGAGTGCTTTGATTGTGAGGGCTGACGCAAAGTGGCTGTACCAGTGGTCCAGGCATCGAAAGCTCCTTCTTTGCGAAAGAATGGAGAGGAAGAGCCAATCCTCTCTTTTTCCTACTCTCAGTATCATGTCCTTTTTGCTTATCATGCCGTATCACATTTTGTCATCTTGTGTGTACTGTGTACAGTCTTGGGACGATTGCCTCTCAATGTCATGGTAGCTATTGGTGTTTCTTAAATTATTTGTGGTCGTGCCGATTCATGTAAACTTAAACTTTTGACATGCTGATTCCCGCTCAGCACCCCCCCAAAAAATCTGCTTGGTTGGTGTGTGAGGCGAGATTCTCAACTCCAACAGTGACTGCATGGGAAGCGTTCATGCAAAAAGGACAAAGATCATGCCAATGATCTTTTCGGGAAAGCAAAGTCATTGAACGTAGGATGCGACGAAACATGAATAGATTGGGCAAGTTATTGCAGCCTTTAATCCGGTTTGCCCTAGCTTTGAGCTAGAATGATCACACATCCGCCACAGTGAGCCTATCAAGCCTTTTTCAATGCCCTTTTCAACGCCGTTTTCTTAGCATTTTGGTCCATGAAATCTTCGGGACCATGTGAGGTCATGGCTTCAAGAAACATTCAGAGACCATGGGTGGAACATGGACCAGAGGACTTGACGTCTTGGCTCGAGATTAGCAGAACTTTGACTTGCTAATAGGTAGAGAAACTCAGGAGGTTGTGAAACAAATCAATACATGTCAAGGCAAACAGCTTTTCTGCTCTTCGTTGATAATTGTTATTGGAGTTCTTTTAAACTCCCGTCATTCTATTGACAGCACTGCATAGTTTAACAATTACCATAGAGCGCGTATGAAGGTTGTTTTTGCAAGCAGATGTCACAGCATCATGGAGAAAATCAGCTTTGGAGCCTTCTCACACTGCCAATACACTTCCAATGGTGCTCCGTGCTTCTATACAGGCCATATTTCAGGTTCCGATCCCACACTGAATATGGGGACTTGCAGGGAGTGAAGAGCAGAACATGCCCTACTGAATGCCTCCTGGTTGCCTGCTCCTCACTCCCTTGAGTTCTGTCCTTCCGTTCCCGCAGGGTAGTGTGTGCCTCGCGGCAAAAATATTCCTTGTTTGTACTTAGCGTGTAATTGTTTTGGCAGGGATTTCAAACACCCAGCAAAAAGTTGATTTGCTAAGCACTGGATGGACTTTAGAAACAGATTGGATTTCCTGGATTGATTCTATGTCTGTGCTTGTTCTCTATTTTTGAGCATTTCTCGAGGCCGTGTCTTCCACGGGAACACCGCAATCATGCACAAGTACCGGCGGGGCACTCCGGATGGTGTAGTGAGATGCGACATATTTGGTGCTCGATGACCCCAAAGTCAAGAGTGAGTCTTCACTACATTTTGATGTCTCTGGCATTCTCGAAGATGTTTGTCACTTCGCTGTACCACATCTGTTCTATGCCTTTCATCATCTTCAGCGCTTCGTTGCGTTGCACTCGATCCATGGCCGCAGCTGTCCCTAAACGCAATTCAAATCAAACGCTGTAACCCAGGTGTGCCATTGCCATGGCAGTCTTCAGTAAGATGTCAGGACGCCGTACCGCTGTGCCGCTAGTGTTGGGTGCTGCTGCTTTGGCAGCGACAAGCTTCGTGGTTCCAGGGGCTCCTGTGCAGCAAGTCTCTGCTCGAACTCCAGTGACTGCTCAGGCGAGGCCAAGGATTGAACAGCTCATGATCCTCAGGTCTAGTTTCGAGTATGCTTCATTCAGAAATCTGATTGGGTGGCACGCACAGTCATCTAAGGATTCTAAGGGTTCGGATTTGTGTTTTCTTTCAGGTGAAGCAAGATGCAGCGAGCTCGCTACCAGGCCTCACAGCAGGTGTGACCATGGGAGTGACAGCTGCAGCAGCTGCAGCCAACCGAAGAAAGCCAGTGAGGAGCTCCTTGATTGGGCCGTGAGTTTGTACCTTGATGAATCGTCTAAAGTTAAAGAGCCAGCATTTGTAGAGGATTCTGAATCTCACTGCAAGTTGTCTTTGTTCAGAGAGAAGCATTCCCTCTCTTCCAGATGAAATGAGTTCAGCTCGAGGAGTCAAAAGTCGCTGGCAAAGGCCAAGAAGGAGATGTCGGAATCCGGCCTGTTGCACTTGGTTGCATCGGTTCAGGATGTCTTGTCCAAACCTCACGAGGGAGATCGCATTAGGGATCTGAAGGCACTGGCTGCTGAGCTGAAGCACACTCAGAATAGCACCAGCCCAATGGAGGGCCCCTTGCGATGGGTGGCGAACATGGCAGCAGCTCTTCTGTTGACTCAGGGGATGGCCTTGCAGCCTGCGAATGCTGGAGATGTAGTCAACTACTCTGACTTCATTGATTCAGTGAACAAGGGCGATGTTGAGATGGTGCGTGTGCAACCAGACATGCTGTCGGCTCAGTATGTTACCAAGGAAGGTGCCCGGCGGGAAGTGAACCTCATTCCAAACGGCCAGATTGAAGATCAGCTCTTTAACCAGCTTGCTGACAAGAAGGCCTGGGCCATCCGGAAATGTCAAGCAACCTTCAGTAGCCCATTATATGTCGCCGTCGGTGACCGGTGGCAAAGCAGCCTTGAACGTGTTTCGTGGGTACTGAAACCTTATGAATTATGACTTGTGTATCTTGTTGATTTTGGAATGTTATGGACCTGTGATGTCCTTTGACTCCAGGTGGATGTGGTGATGTCGACGGGTGAGGCTGGATCTCCTTTCGACTTCCTTGCCCGCTTTGCTGGTCCACTTGCATGGCTGGTGGCTGGCCTCTTGCTGCTTTTCGGTGGTGTTGGTGGACCTGCTGGACCTGGTGGACCTGGTGGTCCAGGCATAGATTTGAGATTCTAAGAGCCTGTCGATTTGAATCGATGACACCAACACCTTCTTGGACATCTTGACACGAGATGACACACCACAAGACATGCTTCTCGCCAGGTGGGAATCCTTTTGAGCTGGGCAAGTCCAAAGCTCGGATCATCAAGGATGGCGACACCAAGGCAATGCCGGTTCAGAAAGGTTCATCAAACATAGTTTTTGCACTACATATAATTACATATCGCAGATAAGCTCGAATAATCAAGAAGATCCACAGGCATCCACAGGCCATGGCAAGAATGGCAGTGAAGCCTCTTCAGGTGAAGTTTGGTGATGTGGCGGGCTGTGACGGCGCCAAGACAGAGCTGGTGGAGGCCCGATCTGATCTGACTGGGCTCTTGTGACTCTCCAACCAACCAAACAAGGCTTCAGTGCTACGTTGGAATTTGCATGTTCTTTTTTGTTTTCATTCTTTTTAACATGTTTTCTTTGACTTTTCATGATGTGCATTTGTTCGGAATGATTCAATGCGGCATTTAAGCGAAGGGGAAGGATGATTTGAGCTCTCTGGATCTCTCTAGCGCATTCACCTTGAGCCACTGGCAGGTGGTTGACTTCCTGAAGAATGCCTCGAGGCTGGACAGAAGACATGTTGCAGGTCCAGGTCGGAAGTACCGACCGCATCACATCCGTTGTTTTCCGGCATTTTTGAATGCGTTGAACATGGAATTTGCTCAAAACACGGGTGTGACGTGGATCCGAGTGAAACCTCCAGGTACTCAGAACTGGGCGCCAAGATCCCCAAGGGTGCCTTGCTGGTGGGCCCACCTGGCACAGGAAAGACCTTGCTCGCCAAGGCTGTGGCAGGCAGCTTGGGAAAGGATCTTAGTTGATGTCGGAGGTTTCCTTCCAAAGTCTATTGAAGTCTTAACTGAAAGTCTCAACAGGTCGCAAACGACATGTATCAAATTGTATCAATATATAATATATAATATATTTATCATCCAACCAAAACGGTGTCTTCCAGGCGAAGCCGGTGTGCCCTTCTTCAGCATCTCCGCGTCGGAGTTCGTTGAGGTCTTCGCTGGAGTGGGCGCTTCACGCGTCCGAGATCTCTTTGAACAAGCGAAGAAGTCTGCGCCGTGCATCATTTTCATCGATGAGATCGATGCTGTGGGGCGGCAGCGAAGTGCAGGCGCATGTCCTGAGATCGGTTTGCCTAAGGTTTTGGACGAGTGAGCGGCATGTGGATTCGAAGATTGTTGCACATGTAGAACACTCTGTAGACCTCGAAGACCAGAGCGTTCCAGGCTTCGGACAGGGCAATGACGAACGTGAGCAGACTGTGAACCAGCTGCTTACCGAGATGGATGGTTTTGAGAGCAACAAGGGAGTGGTGGTCCTCGCAGCCACAAATCGGGCAGACATCTTGGATCAGGCCCTCGTTCGCCCAGGCAGGGTCTGCATCGGCCTGTAGACGATCAAACATGTTCGTGTTGCTTGATGTAATACCCATTCTGAAATATGTTATTTCCTGGCAGGTCGCTTCGATCGGCAGATCCAGGAGTGGTACTGAGAATTGAGCTTCAATGGATTCTGAAAGCATTGTAGGTCCATGCAGTCAGCTCGCAAGATTGCAAGATCCCTGATGAGGTGGATCCTCCAGATGTCCAGGGCCGCTTGGAGATCCTCAAGGTCTACGCCAAGGGGAAGAACTTGGCTCCTGGCATCGATTTGTCAGCGATCGCAAAGCAAACACCAGGACACTTGTTCAGCAGATTAGGTCATAAATGATGCATTATTATGTCAACATGATTGGACCAATACATCCCGGTTTTTCCTCTCTCTTCAAGGGAAACTGCATCCCAAAGCTGCACTACTACTTGTCCACTCTATGAAGAATCTTGAGGTGTTCCTTCAGCATAGTGAACACCTTTGCAAAACCATAATATATATATATATATGCAACTGAGGAATGTCCGGGGCTGACCTGGCCAACCTTCTTAATGAAGGAGCCATTGTGGCAGCACGGCAGAACAAGTCCGAGATCGACTCCGATGATATCTTCAATGCTCTCGAGCGGATTGCATTGGGCTTGGAAAAAAAAGATGCAGTGATGTCAGAGCAGAGGAGAAGACTCGTTGCTTACCATGAAGCCGGTCATGCTATTTTGGGCGCTTTGGTGAATGACTATGATGCAGTTGCCAAGATTAGCATCGTGCCACGTGGACCAGCGGGTGGCGTCACGATCTTCATGCCTTCTGAAGAGCGCTTAAACTCAGGCGAAGTCCGTCATGTAATGAGCTCCGGCCCTTTTTGTCACGTTCAGATTTAGTATATAGCCTTCAATTCTTCCATGGTTCGGCTCAGTTTCATTGGTGTGCTGACCAGCTGACGGGGGAGATTCCTACTTAGTGCTGTTGGTAGTTGAATACGTACTATATACTGTAATGTTTTGCCAATCTAAGCCTTGTGAGGCCTTTATTCCAAGGAATTCCTCGAGAATCGCATGTGCGTGTCACTTGGTGGGCGCCTGGCAGAAGAGATCATCAATGGCAAGGACAACGTGACGACTGGAGCTTCCAACGATTTCCAACAGTGTGACTTGGTTGGGCTCCCGCTAATACAATAATATTGTACAATACTATATTTATGCGTCCTTTATATTATGTCCTTTCACGAGAACGTCCTGAATCATCCGAATCAATGAAGGATATTTGTCCATGTGTCACTAAGCAGAAGATGCAAAGCTTGCCTTGACTGAGGCACCCAGGTCGCCAAGCAGATGGTGATGCAGCTGGGCATGTCTTCCGTTATTGGCCAGCGGCAACTTGGAGGTCAGCAGCAGGGCGGACCTTTCATGGGCCGCGATTTCATGGGTCAAGGCGCGCCGCCTATGTCCCAAGCATTGAAGCAACAGGCTCGGGTGGACTCTCAAACGAGGCTAGCGGCTAGCGCATCATGATTCCACGCAGAGACAATCATTTGTTTAGGCTAGGCCGGCTAGGCAGCAGCCCTTAGAAGATGCTCAAGACGCTAAGAGATCTCAGGTGGATGACGAAGTGAAACGTATTGTGGATGAACAGTACCAGCGCGGCATGAAGCTCTTGAGAGACAATATGTTTTTGCTGGATGAGTTGGCAAAGCTACTCATGGAGCAGGAGAAGGTCAGTGGTGAAGAGCTTGTGAAGCTTATCAACAGAGCTGCGATTGATGGGAAGTTGGCGGTGGACAACAAGCAGATGGCCTTTGCCGCCTTCACAGGTGAGAAAGTGGACGACAATTCAATGGGTTCGAAGCTCACCAGCAGCTTGGATTTCACATCTAATCACGACTCTGGAAGGGGCATCATCTGGTCACAAGATGTCACAAAGCATCAAAGCAAACAAATTCAATCATATTCAAACCAGCCCTGCTGGCTCTACCAAAAGTCAAAACGACAACATGGATACTTTGTGAGTTCTCTAAGTTCTCTGCATCGCCCAGGCAAGTGTCTTCCATCTATGACATCTATGACCCCCACTTCAATGCCCAAGGGCTTCTGTGGCTCGACCCTCCGTCCCCGCCATGACCGTGCTGCTGCACGCAACGCGATTGCCCGACTTGGGCTCGCGCACGATGAGAAGGCTGTGAGCAGTGAGAAGGTTCTGCAAGAAGTTCAGCGAATGGCAACTGAGCCTTGGACTTCTTAGCTTCTTCAGTGATCTCATGTCACCTCCTATCATAATGTCAATCGGTTTGCACTCTGTTGCGTTGAGTTTTGGCCGTGTCTTTTGCCGAGCTTGCACGGTCTAAGAATGTTTCATTGTTTTAATCTTATTTGTAGCATAAGGTCTTGTGACTCTTGCGATTTTAGACGTCGTGTTACCTGAGGATGTCTCCAATGGCTCCGCTTTGCCAAGCCAGGTGGTCCGAACCGCAGCTGTGCAGACCTTGGTGTCTTTAGCTGCTATGGCAGGTCCATCTGCTGCAGTTGCTGATGATGTGGCAGTGCCACAGAGCGTTCCGCAGCCCATGACTCAGATGCAAGCTACTGGCCGTGTCACCTATTCTCGCTTCTTGGAATTCGTCGAGGAGCAGGGTTGCAGGGCCAGTCAGTGAAATTTGTCCTTGGATCGACTGATGCAGTGTATCACTTTCCTTTGCTGCAACAAGTACTGAACATTATATCACGAAAGCCAGCCGATAGGCTAGGCTGGAGTTGATGGGCGAACGAAGTAGCAAAGGGGGTGGGGGGGTCGCACAGAGGTCAATTTCGGAGGGCGAACCCAGAGCCTGGTGGGGGAGAGCGAAGAAAACTACCTGGAGTTTGGGAGTGGTTTTTGGAGTGATGTGATGCAAGTGATGTAATTGACGGCCATTGCATCATTAGCATCATGAGGGGCTCAGGACGCAATGTAAACCGTCTTCTACCAGGGGTGGGAGTTCATGTCGATGATAGGAAAGAGGAGACAACGGGACCTTCAGAAACAGAGAAATTTGCGTTTTTGGCGGCCACTGAAGTAGTTTTGGAAGACAGGCATAGCGGAGGAGGAAAAGATGGTTTGGAAGAAATCTTGGAGTTGCCTGGGGGTGCCCTCTTTAAATGGTGAAGACGCCTGTCAACCGTACGCAAAAGGGCACCCCATATGGGGTGCGAGTTTACATCATAGGGGAGGAAAGAGAACAGAATGCAGCGGGCATGCTTTGAATTGCATGGGGGTGCCCTTACTTTACGGTGAAGAGGCCTAGTAGCCGCATCCCATATGGGGTGGGAGTTCATGTGGATGAAACAGTCATAGCGGAGGAGGACGTGATAGGAAAAGAGGGATTGCAAGAAACGATGTGACCCATTGAGAACGGGAGGGAAAAGAAGCAGGGCAAGCTTTGAGTTGCTTGGGGGTGCCTTTTTATGGTGAAGAGGCCTGTTGCCCAGACGCAACGGGGCACCCCACATGGAGTGGGAGTTCATGTGCAGAATAGGCATAGCGGGGGAGGATGTGATAGGAAAAGAGGTGGGGACCACCGGGGATCTCGCACTCATATCTTTTACGGCGGCTGGCTTTCGTCCCCTCCCTTCTCAGACTATTTAATTACGGCTATTGCAATGTAGTAGAGCTTGGACGCGTTTGAGTGAGGAGACCTAGCTTGTTTGAGTTACTTGACAAAGATCACACATCCCCCTTTGAGGATGGTGCGGTGAAGCGCGTCGACATGTATGACATGGGCCGGACTGCTGTTGCTTCCGTGACCATTGCCGGTCGTGAGCAGCAGTTGATTTGCGATTTGCCTGGTGCCAGCACGGGAGTCATCGACAAACTCGTGGCAAAGAACGTGGCCATTGATGTGCACCAACCGGACACTTGGATGAATGCGGATGACATCGAAATCAATGTATTTTCATATTTTTCATGTACTTTCAACAGATTTCCCTAGGGGTCGACTGAGAGCCCAAGGTTTCAGCATTCCGCCAGAACATGCATTGCTGCATTACACATTATGACACTTTCTAATTCATTTAAAGCTCACCGTTCACGCATTGGTGTTCATGTTTAGAAAGGGCTTGGACTTGGACATAAGGAGGCCTTGCATAGCAAACACCTGAATTGCGTCAGCCTAGCAAAAAACACTTCATATCCCCTGCATGGCACGTAAACGGAAATGTAAATCGCGTCAGTAAAGCCTAAAAACTTGCCTAAGCACCTCCTTACGACCCTTCACCGCGATTTTTCATGATTTGGTCATGTCCGATCATGAAGGACAAACCCAACCCACTCTTCGGCGCCTTGGCTGATGCAGCGTTCCCTTTGCTGACCATCGCTGGTTTGCTCTTCTTGCGATCGCAGAACCCTGGTACTGGTGGCATCCCAGGACTTGGCAATCAGGGGAAGGCAGGATCTTGTTTGTTGTCATTGGTTTGTCAGACTTCGAGCGCCCTGTGCACATTTGTGCACTGGTACCTGTTCCAATCACAACGTCTCCTGAAAGGCGCAAATCATGATTTCCCCTGACACGGGAGTCAAGTTTGAGAACGTTGCCGGAATTGATGAGGCAAAGGAGGAGATTGGACCCAGTATTGAAACATGTTGACCCCCGCTCCTTTCCTGTGTTCGAAGGTATTCAAGAACTTTGAAAGACACAAGTTCTGTGGAAACAAGAGTGGACTACAGGGTGCCCAAGTTCTACAGGTATTCACGTTTTCTGATACCATAGTTGTATAACTTGATTAATTGTATATATATATATATTGTTAGATTGATAGTTTTCGGAAGTGAGAAAGACTGATGTTGCTTCAGGAGCTTACGGAGATTGTCGATTTCCTGAAGGCTCCCGAGCGTTTTGTGAAGGTCGGAGCCAAGATCCCACGTGGCGTCCTGCTCACTGGGCCTCCGGGCACCGGGAAGACGCTCATGGCCAAAGCTTTGGCAGGTCGCATGACGACGAGGGGATGATTTTGAGTAGGAACCGTTTTGTGTTTTGCTGGTGATCCGTCAATTTGTTCGTGCGTGCAACTAATTAAGGGCTGCCGCCCCTGCCGCCGACCCCGGGATATACACCAACAACAGCAATCACAGCAGCAGCACTAAGAAGAAGACCCAGAAGCATCACAAGATCAGAAAAACCACTAGCAACAGGCAGCAAGAAGCATAGTAGCAATGCCTCTGTTCTGGCTGTGCTAATAGACTGGCGGCTGTTTGCGGGGGCCTTGTTGGACAGCCCAGGTGCTGAGCCAGCAA